AAGACTATTGAAAGATTTGTTAGCGGTAGGAGAAGTAGTCAAATGAGACAAACAACCATAAATTAATATTTTAATCAATGATAAACAAATATATTAATATTAAACTGTGCCACCTCTTTTTCGCACTTGTTCTAATTGTTTTAGTAAAATGCCACGATAAGAAGGGTCCAGACCAGAAGTTGGCTCGTTTTTAATATCGTCCCTAATACTAAATGGTGTTACACGAATTATGATAGTCTGGTCCCAATGGCGTGCTTGGAGGGTTTTCTCTGTACACAGTGCCGCTCTTTATAGTAGACCTCTTTATGGTGGAGACTAATTCAAATCGCGATATAGTGGATAGAGGTTCATAACCATCTACAATAAATTCTATCCGATATAGTGTATTTTTGAGAATTTTTTACTAATAGATTTTTTGGATTATAAAGAGCGTCACTGTGTATAAGGATTCTTGCATGTCTAATCTTCTCACAAATAGGTCGTATAGCCTTTTTTTTTAAAAAAAAACTTATTTGGTAGAAAAATATGCGGGGCCTATTTAATAAGACATTTGAAATCTGTATGATTCTTTGTGACAAAAACGATGAACCTTCCACGACAGAGTTCTCCCAACGAAGTCCAAATAATAAATTGATTGCTGTATTTATAAAATTTCTATTTAAATTTGTAAATTAAACGCAATACAAAGCTTCAACATTGGTTAGCCACGTTTTATATATCAAATCCGAACTAGATCTATTGAAACAAAAGAACGCTAGGCTTTTGGCTGAGAATACTGAACTTAGAAACAAGAATGCTAAATTAAGACAAGATATAGAAGGGCATGAAGCCAGAATCATGAAGTTAGAACAGAGAAAAAGTATTACTAATGTTTCGCAATCTTCGGTCTGCGAAGCAGGATACTCTGTATCTAATATCAACTCTTCCGAAATGGAAATTTCTAATGATACTCCTATATCCGATATAACCGATGATGCTTTAAATTCCGATATATACTGTACAGAGCCTAAATCATCGGAAGATAAGGAAATGAACGATTTCCTAGATTCAACATATTAATACAAAGAAAATGTTAGTAAAGAGATAATTCAAAACGTTAAGGAAAAGAAACTTCGAGATCAAGAGAAAATCGTAACTTCCCAGGAATTAAATTTTCTTTGAATGTAAAAGGTGGGCAGGGGTTGATCCAAGAATTATTTGTATTTGGGGCATGCTGCAACAAAACCAGACAAAGTGAACATTCTGACATAAGAGGCTTGTGTAGCTGAAAGTTAACTAATTTGACTAATACTAATGACATTTTAGCAGTGCTTATTCATAACTTATGGACTTGTTAATTTTAATGTTCACTTTATCATACCAGAAGGTGAGGAATATAGACCATAACAGGATAATATATATAGGGTTATCTCTGTATAAAAATATTAATATGAAACTAATTTACATCAAGTCCACTATGGAACCAAAGAATTAGAATTACAGCACCATTAGAGCATTCTAAAGAAAGAACAGGGCGAAAAGATTGTGCCTTATATTTTTAAATTAAAAGAGACTAAGTCTTTGCAAACCTATTCAGACAAAGAAAAATCACTTATGAAATTTATCAAGAGGAAAGGAAAATTATAACTAATAAGTGAGCATTAACACCAGCACATGATGAACTAAGAAAGAAAAGAAGACTGGCAGAATAAACAATCAAATCATTATCAATCACCATCCTCATTCTCTTCTGCTTCTAGTTCAG